GAAATCCTTATGCTAATGAAGAAGAGATTACCTGGTCCAATCCCTGTGGCGGATGGAGGTGAGATTGTAACAGTAGAGTCTCCTTCCGATTTGGGAGAGGAGTGGTGTTCATCAATCCCTCAGAAACAACACCACTTCTCTAAAATGAAGGAGAGAAAACTTCCCAAAGGAAAAACTTAGTTATTTAGTATATGTGAAGAAGATGAGTGAATCCCAAGCAGGCAACCGGTGGACAGTCACTACAGAGTCAGTTCAGATGTGTTCATTAGCAAACTTAGACATTATTTTATGTCCCAGGTTTTTAAAGCTACTTGTAAATGATCAAAAAACAAACATCAAGAATTGACTGCAAGGGTAAAGAGGGAATAAGTGCAGTCAAACACAATTCCAAGAAATCTCATTGATAAATATGGGTGGAAGAGAAGACTGAATGCTGTGGATGACTCTCAAACCACATATTCATTTATTCGTTCATAGAACATTTATGGACTATCGACTTCATGCCAGAAAATGCTTAATACAATAGGATCTTTGACCTTAAGGAGTTCATTCAATCAGGGACTACAGAATTACAAGCCAAAAAGTCAGCAGTTTTGATATACTGTAGTATATCAGAGTGAAAGTAGTGTAGTAGAAGAGTGAAAATAAAACCACACGGAAGATCTAGTGGAATCACCATCACACTGTTCAGTATTTCCTTCAAACCTAACACTTCCGCAATGCAATCTCCAACATAAAGCAACCCAGGAACACTTACTTTCAATCAGCAGGACTCTGAAAACAGTATTTTAAAAGGCAAATGGAGGGATAATTTATCATACTCTGATTGCACAGTCTAAGGAAAATAATATGTAACTATTCTTGTTTAGAAACAAAAGTGAATCATTGTTGTCTCGGGGAGCTTTATGTGCCAAATCTATTTGATAATAAAGTGAATTCTTTTAAGCTATTATATACAGTGATCATCTGGGGAGATAGACTTGGGGATAAATACAGCAGAAGTATTTAGAGAAAGGACATTACAAAGGAAAAATAGCAGACATGGTTGATTTTCTTCGATATTCTTTTATAGCATAAAAATCATGAAATCCTTGGTCCATATCACAGTGACAATGCTGAAGAAATTCTAATTACTTTATTATTATCTCCATCAGTGCTCTGAAGCTCCAATTACAAAGGCAGGGCTTTCTGTAAGCATCTACCATAAAGATGCAACTCAGAGAATTTTTGGAGTAGTTTCTTCACATGAAGATTACTTGATAATAACATTTTAATGTAATATTGACATTTCTGGTTTTTAACTTTGTTGGGCAGCATCTTGATGGAAAAGAAAATCACTTCTGACAGCTTCAGCCTGAGTGTCTAATATCCTGGCAATTTAACCTGATTTTACCCTACATCAGAGATATTCCATCAGAAAGGAACTAAAGTTCCCTTCATGTTTTACAGGAGCAAGTCATTTCTAATAACAGATGATGCAAAAGTTGTCTTAAAATTATTAACTATTATTGAGGGAATATTGTAGGAAATACTGGTGGTTCATTTTCAGAAGGTTTTGGTAAATAATTAATACATATATTTATTATATATACACATAGTATTTTGTTTAGAGTATTACTTATCCATTTGGATTGAATTGGTCTCCTTTGAGCAAACAACTGAGAAGTTGAGCCAAATCATGACATTTGTGATCCTTGTGACATTAATGATTGAACAAAGGACTGAGTATATTCTTGCTACTCAGAGTATGGTGTACAGGCCAGTAGCATCAAAATTACCTCCGGTCAATTAGAAATGCAGAATCTGGCCCCCAGCTCCAGGCCTACTGAGTCAGTATATGCATTTTTAACAAGGTCCTTATGTGATTAAAGTATTAACTAAGGGGATGGATCTCAACTCTGGCTACACATTAGCATCACTTAGGGTGCTTTTAAAGTAATTCTCAGGCCTTACCCCAAACCAGTAAAATCAAACTCTTTAAGGGCAGGACCAAGGCATAGGTATTTTATCATGCTCACTGAGATTTTAATATGCTGCCAGGTATGAGAACTCTGTGGGCTACACAATGCCCAAACCATCAGTAAATTCAGTGTGTTCTGAAAAGGCGAAAAAGGAAAAGGGAAGTCAAAACCAATTACTTCGTATTTGGTACCACTCTATAAATGATTGATTTTCTTAACTGTTAATATGTTTGCTTAGCTACTGTGTGAACACAGCCTATTATGTCTCAACCTGCCTAAAAGTGTATTGTATTTTAAATCAAGACCGTGGACACTTGGCTCTCCAAATTAATTAAAAGTAGATTTTAGATTTGTTTTTCAACTTTCCTTTCTTTTGCCAACCTTATTTTCCAGCCTGACAGATCTAGCTGCTGAATCTGACACTGCACATTCAAAACACTGCACTCGGTTCTCAGGTTTTACCCCAGACACTCCCTTATCACTCCAGCCCACTTGATGTTCTCTCCCCTGAGTTTAGATGTTGCAGCTGTTTCTATCATGCATTCACTCTTGATGGTCTTTCATTGTTAGTTCCACTACTTCGTGGAATGAAATTCCCTGTTTTTTAATTTCTTCATAAAATCTCAAGCATTAGCAGTCTAGTCCAAAATCTCATATAGAAATAGGAAAGGAAAAAACAAACCACAGCACAGTACTTATGGTAGTCATTACTGTCCCATTTTATAGATGAGAAGACTGAGTTTCAGAAAGGCAAGGCTACAGGCTAGTAAGTTTCAACACTAAGATATTTTCCCCAAAACTATTTGATTCAAAGTACAGAGAAAGTTTGGCTTGCTTTCGTTTGCGTGTGCGTGTGTTTCCAATATAGTACTTCAATTATAGCTCTGGGGCAGATTAAGAATATGTTCACACTAAAACATACTGAAAGAAGATTCTTCTTAAAATCAGTGTCCACTCTCAAGAGGTGTGTTTTTTCACACTAATTTGGTTTCTTTTGTCAGAAAATTATTGAAGCTTGATGGGTAGGAGCAAGAGAAAGCCATCATATTATATTTCATTTATAAAATTACTTTTTATCTTGAAGTAATACCTGAAAATGTTTTCTTGTAAAAAATTAGAACATTATAGATACAGCTTAAGTCTCCTGTCCAATACCCCCACACCCACATCCTGCACTTTACCCAGTCTCTATATCTTTATTCTTCCTCAGAAAGAATCATTTATATTCGTATGCATCCTTGAAGACATTTTAAATGTATTTAAATACATGGATATGGTATATCATGATAATTTTTGATGATGCCACATTTTATTGTATTACCATCCCAAACATAGTACTCTTGGTAGTTTTATTTGTGTGTCTAGTGTGAAAGACCTGGGAAGGGTACTAATTCAGGGGTTGGCAATTAGGATTCAAAGTTGTATCTCAACCCTGTGGAATAATACCCTAAAACTAGACAGATAAAAATTTAGGTAGCATAAATATCAAAGTGCAGGTAAGAAATGGGGAATTCTGATTTGACATTAGTTTATATGAAAAAGACTTAGAGGTTTGTTTATCAAGGATCCAAAATTTAATAAAACTTCTAATGCTTTGAAAAGTGAGTAGTGCTTATCTCAAAAATAGGATTCTTTTAAGTATGTCTGAAATTACTCCAGAATATATAATTTTAGAAGGAAAAGACTAGATTGAGTAAACTGAGTATAATATAGTGGACTAGTAATTTTAAAATGTGGGACTTATTTTGTGAGTTAATATATTCTTTATGTATTTTTCCTTTTCCTATAAAAACAATGCCAAGTAAAAGAAAATTATTTTGCCTCCCTTGTGTCATAGACTCTAGTTTTTATTATACTCTCATTTTTATTATAGTGCAAAACATTTGTTACAGATCAGAGGATTTTAGCATGAAAACTTCCTATGATAAGGCATTGCAGGAGTGTTCTTTCTCAATGTGGATGTCTTCTGTCTTCTCAAGTAAGGATCTTGCCGTGTGAAATTAGTCTCACTCACTATAAAGCTAACTGTCTATTACAACAACATATCTTGGTGAAAAATATTTACACCCAACATTCTTTGCCTGAAAATCTGGGATTGGGGCATGGGAAGTCAGGGACATTCTCTGCATGAGACACGTGCTTTCCCATACTTTGACTTGTGCCAAAAGACATAGATTTTGAAGAAAAAAATATTCTTCTAAAAAGATAATTTAGAAGCCCTTAATCTCCTAATTACCTGAAAAGCTTTCCCAACATTTGTGATTATCTTTTTTTCATGATTTCAGATACATAAGTACCGATTATATAGGGTACAGGGAAGTACAGGTTATAAGAAATAAATTGATTTTTCCTTTCCTAAAGGAAAGTGAATATTATATTCATTTATTATGGCCTTGACGTAGGCAACTGTGAGTCTCGAGCCCTTTTTATTTTTCCTAAAATGAAAGTAACCTCTCACATTAAATATTGTAGAAAATGAAACTCTGACTGAAAAGGGACAAGCTGAATCAGTGAAGCAGATGCGCTGGTGTATTTTTAACTCCAAACCATGGTTTTATTTGAATGTATCTGTCTTTTCCGTGATGTCCCCCATAGCACAGGAGAAGGAGATTCAAGGTCTTAACTTTATTACTGGCTTCATTCAGCAGCATCAGACCAATAATAGGTGTTTATCTACTAATGTGTGCTGCTCCAGATAGAGTAGCTCATTGTAATTCTCGTCTCCGGTATTCCAGCCCCAAGGAAATCTCTGTATCTCAGATCTGTCTAATTAACCAGTACGTGAAGAATAGAGAATTGCCAGGCGATCCTTAGTCTCATTGTTGCAGGGCTTTAAAAAGCTCAATAAAGTTTCTATCTACATTTTCTTGTTTACACTGTGGAGCAAAAATGGATCAAACAAGCAGAGATTTGTGGCAACAGAGTCGGCGCCTTTGTACATCGTAACACATATTGTGAATCAAAGAAATATTGCGCCACTTCTCCAAAGCTGACATTGGAATGACATTGTAATCCCGGCCATCTGTCTTCCTCCTCTAGATATCGATGAATGTGCGGTGGTGAATGGAGGCTGCCAACAGCGCTGTATTAACACTCTGGGCACCTTCCACTGTGAGTGTGACACAGGATACAGACTCCATGCTGATGAACGCACCTGCATAAGTGAGTAAATATTAGGACCAGCTTGAAGCCATTTGCAGTGAAAAATCAGCCTGCCCACGTAGGGGCAGGAGGGAAAGGCTTTTCTATTGTAAAACTATCTGTAGGAGCTGTCAGTTTTCATGTACAATTCTATCTCTTAGAATACAAAAGGATTTTTTTGCTATTAATAAACTAAAAGACAAAAAGATGGGGAGGGAACTATGGAAATGAACATTCACAAGCAAAGTTTGAATCCCCACGCGGGTGAATATTTCCATAGCAAATCATTCTGCCATTGGCAGTAAGTAAAAATTTGTTAGTTTGTGTATATAGGCAAGGACAGCGCAGAGCCACAATGAGAGGAGAATGTTGGGCTGTTACAGTCACTGCCTACAGTGTTCACTCATTTCAGACCAGATGCAGAACTGGACTCATGATTATAAAAGCAAAATTTATAACAGATTATGTGCCAACTTTAGAACTGCTCAAGAATAGTTAAAACTACACACGTTAAATGAGGTTACTATATGTTTACTATAAGAACATCAAAATGTTCTTAGATATTTTTGTGTGGTAGGATTATTATTTTAAGTTTTATTTGTATGTTTTTTAATTGTATAATTTTTTTAAAAACAGGTATGTGCTTTTATAGACAGTTAAAAAAACACAGAATATATTTTTAAAATACTGTGCTTCCTGTATGATTTATTGCTGCTCTGTTTTTGTTTTACCCAGAGTAGTTTACATAAAAGTGGTTAAGTGGTTTTTTTCATTGAATGATAACCTTCAAATGGCATCAGGACACACTCTATTTTTATCAGCAGGTCCCTTTTAAAAATATTTAGTATCTTAAAAGTAGCACCTTGAACAGCACATTTGCTGGTTTAATTTATTTAGGGCTTGTTAATTAGTCCATCTATTCAAAATGACTAGTATTTTATAAGTATTCTATAATTATGAAACTTGAAGTAGAAATAATTTAATTTGACCTAGTTCCATAATATATACTCCCCCTTTGTTTTTCTGAAAATATCTTGTAGGAAATGAGAGAACGCCAAAGGAAACAGCTAAAGATGTCCTAGTCGTAGGTCTGATTTTGATAAGAGCAGATGGAGGTTCTGAGAGGAAGGTAATGACTTTTGCAAAGTTGAGTGAAGGTCTACAGATAGAAGCCATACCCTAAAATCCAGGGAACTCAGGACTGGAGTGATTGCGTGTGCAGCAGGCACAGAGGTGGTGGGCGATGCCCTCTTACATAATCCAGATACCCCCTTCTTCTTGCAGGATTACTGGTTTTAGCAATAGGAATCTCCCATTCCCATCCCAACTTGTAAAGGCTTCAGCCAGTGACATCCTTAAACAGCCACCATCACTTCTCTCAGTTACAAATCAAGACATGCAATTGTGCTACTTATCAGTAAAGGTTGAGCTGGTGAATTATTGTGTCTGATATAAAAGTATTTTGCAAAGTAATGATTTATATAAATCTGTAATATCTGTTCTTTGTGATAAGGCAAAATAAATACTTTTTTAGCCAACAAAATTATATTTATAGGTAAAATTAATTTTCTAAACCCTGGCAGTTATTAACTATTTCTAAGTAAAATCATTAAGCTCTTTTTTTGTTCCTCACCACCACTGCCCTTTTAGTTTTAATGACATCAGGTCAAAAATGTAGTTGGGAAAGTATATTTTGGTTTATCTTTTCTATTTAAAAGATTCCTAGTGTACAAATACATTGACAAGATGATAATGGCTTATTTGCAGTTCCATATGGTGATCTCGGTCTTATGCAGAATTTCAACATAGTGTAAAATTAAATTATTTATATACACACACACACACATATATCTGGAGTGAATTAAGCTTCTAAAAAATGCAATCATTTTAAAGCATTTAACCCATTGAATGTCATTCTATAGAAGCTAGTGGCCTGGGAACCCAGCACTTGCCCTTCATGGAAATTTTTATGCCTTTCTCATATGCACATACTGAAGTTTTGGTTTCAAAGAATGGTCATAAGAATCTCAGTTGATGCAATTAGAACAGTTTAAGCCCTTGGTATTTAAAGATTAATAAAGTGAGTGTTAGGACAAGAATTGTTCCTTTGCTTATTTGTTTTGAAAGAAAGGGAGAACCGAGTTTCACATTGGTCTGTGTTTTGAGTTATATTGTAGGAAGTGTCAGATAGTTTTAAAAACAGAAAATTAAGTTAGCTCACTTTCCCTCTGGGAGTTTTTACCTGGCAGGAGACTGAGAATTGTAGTAGACAGAAATTCATCGTGATCCATGGTGGAGTCACCAAGGAGAAGATGGAGTTATGGAATTTTATGATTCTGCTACTTTGGAGCACTTGAAATTAATTGCCTCCATGTCCTTCCCCCTCCCTTCTTTGCTTTCCTTTGCTCCATTCTGCCCATCAATCATCAGCCTGCCCTAGTGTGATTTTTTTGAATTAGAGCCTCCAGCACTTTTTCCACTTTCTTTTAATCACAACTACAACAGAGTGAACTCTGCACCCCAAACACAGAGTTTCAGATGATTTTGTTTCAAGAACAGGCCCTGTCTCAGGGCTGTGCACCTGTGGTGGTATCTGGCCGACGGTTACCAGCCAGCCTCTGCCAGATTGATAGAGCCGCAGGAAGCGGGGCCGGAGGAAGGGTCCAGAACTGCAGGCTGCGGGGGCCAGAAGCATGGCAGTCCCCGGCCCACTGAAAGGCAGCGTCAGGGAAGCCAGTCTGAGGCTGTCCCAAGGGTGAGGAGGGTCACGGCACGTGAAAAGCACTGCGCCTGGCTGGTGGCAAGGCACCGACCCAGCTGGGGAATTGGGGAGTTCTTGCCAGATCTGATTTGCAGTTGGTGTTCTCCATTAGCACAGATATTACCAAGCAATTTATACACTTTTAAATTTCCCTTTATTTGGAAACCAATGATTTAAAAAATTGGAAACTAGATTTTAGCAATCGCCAGGGATGTTTATGTTCTTATTCGTTCAAGCATTAAATCTTGTCCCTGTGGACTAGGGACAGTGGCATGATGGAATCCAAGCGGGCATGTGGCCTTCAGCCTAAGCTCTTAAATCACTTAATCTCTCTACACCCCAGATGCCTCCTGTGTAAATTATAGAAATTGGGCAAAGTGACCTTAAAGTTATTGCATCTCTGAAGTGTAATAATTTTATTGAGTTTCCATAATCACTGTTTCTTTATAAATCATCTGCTAACCTGTATTTTTTAAACCCCCTTGGATTATGTGTAATAATTATTTTTAAAAGTGTTTAAAGAACTGGAAATTTAGAAAGTCCAAGCATAACAAGAGTGTGACAATTTTATGTCCAGTTTAATAAAAATGAGTGCATAACTTAAATGTTTTCATTGAAAAGAAGTATGCTTTGATGCTTTTGTAAAAATACTGTTTTCTATGCTAAAGGATCAGATCAGGGAGAAATTCAAGGAATAACCTAGCCCACTCTCCCACCTTAGAGATAAGCAGTCTGGGAGCTAAAGAGATCAAGTAACTTTTACTTTGAAAAAGAGAAGTAGTTTTCAGGGAAACCTGGCTAATTTCAATCCTGATCAAAGGCTGTAAAATAATGTCTGATAGGTATTTTAAGACTAACAAAAATCATAAAGTTACTGTAAAATGATATTTCTTCAAAATTTATTTTTAATAATGTTTATTTTGTTTTCCTTTTTATTGAATTTATTGGGGTGACACTGGTTAACAAAATTATACAGGTTTCAGGCGCATGACTCTACAGCACATCATCGGCACACTGTATTGTGTGAAGTGCTATTCTCACATCCTATTTTGGACATAGTACTGAGGGTTAAAACAATGTGTTTTAATAGCTATTGATGAAAGAAATCTACCTTATATTATTAGCCCATAAGTGCAAATTTATCACTTTTCTTCTGCATTTCTATTATATGCTCCAGTAGTCCTGGCTATTCAATTTTCCAAGTAATCCCTGCCCTTTCCATTTCATACCTTCTGTTACTCTTAAGTAGACTAGCTCACTGCCAAGTCTTCACCTGTCAGAACTCTGCTTACCCTGTTCCATGCTGAATGTCAGTCGATCTGTTAAGCTTTCTCTGGTTACCGTAGCCAAAGGCATTCTCTCCCTCTCTCTCTCTCTCTCTCTC